GTTTATGATGACCTCTTCCATCTTACCAAAGGGTAACCTCTGATTATGAACTTGACCTCAGGAACTTTCCCTTGGAAGTCGTAAAAGATGACTTGACGACTCAAACAACAGCTGAGACCCTGAGGCAACCTCCCAGCCAGTCACAACATCAGACAGCACAGCACTGGTCCCACACACTTTGGACAGTCCGAGTTAACACAAAGGAAACAAATGTGACACCCTAACAGTGGTGTCAAGTTATGTCGTGTGCACCAATGGGAGCTGAGGGAACTTGTGGAAAATTGCCCGGCCTTACATGCATACACAGGAACCGGGTGACAGGTGTAATTTTAGCCCCCTGTAAACAAACGTGGCGTGTGATGTCTGATTGGATATTCATTTTGGCAGGCAATTTTATGATTGATTGATGTGACTGTGCACCTTCCCCTCTAGAAACAGCACAGTTCTCTGGCATGTGAACACTGTTCTGTCCTTTCCTTTTGACGTCATGATATCTCCCAAATATATAGTCTTGTGCATTGTAAAAGGGCACAACAATAAATAAGACAGGAACATATTTAGAAACTATGTAGAACAGGGAGCTGCAAACATAAAGCTTTGCACAGTTTGTCAACATCTTGAAGCTACTTTCACATTTAAATGCAGATGGTTGTTAGCCAGCTGGTTTTAGCGGTAGGTCAGTCCAACACTTTGGTCCAAATTGAAAATATCAAAGCAAGTATTGGACACAATTTTGTATGGACGTCAATGGTCCCTAGACCATAATCCTGCTGACTTTGGTGATCCCCAATTTCTCCTCTTGCACATTTGTGGTTTTGAGTGAAATATCTGAACAGCTATGGGATTGATCGCCATGAAATTTGGTACAAACATTCATGTCCCCTTCAGGATGAGTTGTAGTAGATTTGGTGATTTCCTGACTTTTCATCAGGTGCCATCATAAGGTTAAAATTTCACTACATCCAATACTTTGGTTAATGATCAGATACCTGCAAAACTACATTCCCATCAGCCTCAGCTGTACGTTGTGCTCAGTACTTGTTAGCAAATGTTTGCATGCTAACACGCTAAACTACAGGGTGAACACGGTACAACATCATACCTGTTTATCATTAGCAACAAACAAACTCTCACCCAGGAGACCGCTGTTTGTGTCCAGTGCAAAATTAAAAGAAAATGTTGACATTCTGTCTCGTCAGTCGCTAGTCACGTGACTCGTTTGTCACTCGCTAGTCATGTAAGTTGTTAGTCAGTCAAGTTAACGTCAACCACGCTTTTTTCCAAATCGAACTAAGTGGTTTTGTTGCCTGAACCTAAACTTCCTGTGAAGACCGAAGCGTTCCCTGAGACATCCGAAACTGACGCTAGAGAGGTACGTAGAGTGAAATAAGTATATTTAAATATTGTGTTGCAGTCGTTTGTGTGCAGAAAAAGCATTAGAGGTAGTTGTTGAAAGTTAAAAACCACTGCCAGCCTTCTCACTTACGTTAAGACCTTAAGTACAGTCTAACAAAACCACTAGCATGGCTGCAGGGTTTAAATCTAGATTTTTCTGGTGTGAACAATACAATCAAAGTGGGAGACTAAAATCAGCTTTTCATCTCCTGATTCATCACAAGTAGATGTATCCAAGACATTGGCATCCAAGACACAGACTCATCCTGACTCATCGCCTTCTTTACTACCAAAAGGGAAAACAAACTTCAAGCTTTGTCTTGTTTAAAACAAAGAATGTTTAATGGCTGACTTATCTGATGTAACCCTCCACAGCTCAAACCTTTTACTATCACAACACGTCTTCAGCAAAAACCCTGATTCTCAGATCAAATATCCAATGGATTATTTGTTCAAATAATCATATGTAAGACCATATTCCCTGAAAACAAAGACCAGGTTCACGTCCATCCTCCTCGCCCCTCATATTCCTGGAAGATTTGGAGGACGTCTTACTTGGAAACATGTGAGTCCATGTGACCATAAAACTTTCAACTCTCACCAGACTCTGACTGGAATGCACAATCACTCAGGTGGCATCACATGAGTACCGTACAGGTCAACAGGCGGCTCTACTGGAATTCTTTTTATACTGTGACGTCATGAAATGTTTGAGAAGCATCCTTTGAGCGGTTCGTCTCTCTGACATGTGTTGTGTGTGTGTGTGTGTCGACTGCTTGGACCATGTGAGGTGGCCTGGCCTGCCTCCCCCTCCCGCTCCCGCTCTTTGCTGTTGATCCCCAGGGCAGTGGCTGGTGGGGAGCTCGAGCCAACATCCCAACATGTGGCAATGTGTGCACCACCGCCCTTTAATCTGTGAGGCACGTGGCACCCGGGGTAACCAGCAATACAAAGCTGCTCGTGGCGTGCTGCGCCAAACGAACTGGAAGGAATGATAAGGAAGCTGCGTGGGGGACCTTGAAACACAAACATTTTGATTTGCAACCTCGTTCATGCTCATTTTCCTTCTTCACAGGACATGCACAAATGAATTTACTGTTGGACTGAAAAAATGTATTTTAAATCTCTTTCGATCATGTCATTGCACTTCTGAGGTTTAGTGGTAACAAGTCACAAAACCCAGTTGTTTTTTGTGTGCCAGGTTTCAGTTCCAATTTTGTTGTCAGTGTAGTTCCCCTTACTTCCGGCTTTTGTCAGAATCATGAAGCAAAAACGGTACTTTCCAAATAAGTTATATTCGGGTTATTTTACATACAGTATACTGTACATACTGTACATTTATCCTACCATTAACAATCAGAACAGTTATAGTAGCCAAAATAGAGCAGTAGAATTTTAAGAGCCATATATTACATACATTTATAGACCCAAAGTGAAAAAGTGAAATTTTTTAAATACATGCAAGTATTATTGTAACTGTATTACCAATATACACAAACCTCGATTAGCATCAGTAACTTCAACAATTTAGATATAGTTGTCATCAATGGATTAAAATACCTGTCAATCAAATCTGTAGCAATAGCAGATTGCATTCCTATGTTTTGAATTTTGATTGTGTTTTTATTCATCTTTGGATCTTGAATTGTTCCTATAATATAAGCTTTAAAAAATGCACTACTTTTCTACTCTACACTCTCTACAGAGAAGTTCCAGTTCGAGATTTAAAATAATCTTTACTTGCCAACAAGGCGGTGATTAAAACAAGTCGTGGTTTCATATAAGTGGGTGGCAGATGGCATCAGGGGGGTTAAGATGCTCAATGACTTTGAAACTGAAGTGAGTCACCAAACCAATACTGGGTGGGGTGGTGTGTTTGTTAGTGTGGGGGGCACGACAGCTCCAGCAAGAGACAGACTTGTGCGGTTACTGTAGACTGTCTGTGTTGGAGGAAATGACTCGCTGCTGCAATGAGATTGACACAAGAGTGCGGAAGATATTTACAACCAAAGAATGTACTTAGAAAAAATGTAAGGGACAAAATGCTGAAGGCATGAGTCATTTTAGCCTCCAGCCAATACTATAACTGTCACTCATGGACAACCACCTGATGTTTAATAATTCTTAAGACATTCCTCCTCTTACTAATCTTGCAGGTATTTCATTGTTACATGAAATGGCAGAGGACGGTGCAACAGAAAATAGAGTTTCTGTGATTCAGTTTTTCAGGTATGAAGTTACCACCACACCGCTTCCTGCACCAACGAAAGCTAAGTCAGTGATGTTTAGTGGCATTCCTGATTCATCACTACTCACCCTCCAACCAGTGTAACAGAAAGATTTTTCTTTGAGTTGAAAGAGATTATTGAATGATACGAATACTACGCAAAATTATAGAGCAAAGATATAAAAAGAAAAAAAAGAAGTGTTGCAACTTGGGTGTATTTCAGCCAGAAGCTTTCCAGTTAAGAGGGAGCAGAAAATAAATTTCTGTCAAATGAGAGCTGACAAGGCCTTAGGAGACAAAATTCGATTTTGAAGTTGACACGATTCAGGTAAAAATAGAAAACCAATTGGACAAGTTACCATCATATTAAAAGGTGCAATGCCATTTTTTGAAATTGTCCTCATTGGTTCGTCAAGTAGTTTGTTTACGGAGATGTGATTATTTAAGGCTGGAACACGTTCCTCAGATCAAGTGATCTTTAGGGCGCTAATATTTTAAGCAGGTTTACATGTTTTAAGGTTGTGCTCAAAAGGAGTTGGATCAACCAGTAAGGCTCGTTTGATGCTCAGGCATTAGTTTGACAAAAGTGCGAGCGCTGCTTGTACGCAGATCACGAATGGTTGTAGTGTCAGGTTTCTCAAATAGTCACTTGCATACTGCAGAGAAATTAAGGCCTACGGGTACAAGTACACCGTTAAGAGAAATGTCAAAATGGACAGAAAAGGAAGTCAACGAATACAGTTTACAGTTCCTGAGAAGCACAAGTCTAGACCTGCCAGCCCAAACTGCCCCAGGGAGAGCCGAGATGGAAGCTAAGCCAGCTACTCCACTACCAAGCCTACTGCTGGTTGTCTAATGCTCATTAGCTAAACAATAAGATTGATGAAAGCAGCGGGAGATCTGGGACTGTTGAGCCCACATGTTCACAGAGACCTGGCTATAGCCTTCATCCGGGATCAAGCAGAATTTGACGGGCGAACAGCAGGACAGAGCAGGACTCCGGTGGGACAAAGCAGAAGTGGACTCAGTTTACGTCATGATGCTTGGTGCTCAAACACAGTCAAAGTTGATTGACAAGGCTTTCCTCATGTTGAATTTTTAATGTGAAGATGTCTACCATATTATCTGCACAGAGAGTAGTTTGTTGCCGTTTACATTCCTGATGAGGAAATAAAAAAAAAAAAAAAAAAAAAAAAAAAACAGACTACAGGAATGTTCTACCATTTGTTTTGTCATGCGTTTGTTGTGTTGAAAACAGGTGCCAACTGAATTTCGTTGTGCTTCATAAATGATCGTTGAATCCTTAGAATTTTGTTTGATCTGCCTCACTAAGTCTAAGAGAAGACTGTTACAATGAAGAGCAGAGATGACAGTTTTCTACAAATGACAGGTGAATTTATTTTTTCCAAAAACATATTTACATTATGTACATAAACACACCCCCAAAAAAAGCCACATACAGTAACATTAACATTATGCACAAAAACTTCAGAAAAGGTCTCGTGCAATGAGATCAGGCGTCTCCGGCAGTTATACAGTGTATCAGTAATCTCTCAGCAGAAAGGCACACTTCTTGGTCACAACAGACAAACACCCACACAACATACAGTACACAAACAAACATAAAAATACTGCATCTTGGAGAAATGCATTCAACATATGCTTCATTATGGGATGTGCTCAGATAAATAACGTTGGTCTTGCAGTGCTTCCATTTTCCTCATAAATAAAAAATATTTTAAAATGTACAGTACAGAGACTACAATTGCTGGCGCATGTCAACTGGCACAGATCTGAATTCTACGTCACTAGTCGCACAAGGAACGTTCTGCAACTCCTCGGGCCATCGTAACACATTTCAGGACAGCCCCTCGCTTCACAGCCTGCGTGTTATTTTTCCCGGCCGGACAAATCCTCGTCTAAATAAACTATCAGAAACCTTCCAGGTGCGGTTAAGAGTCCAGTCGAGCCCCCTATCACCGTGCGCTGCTCAATCTTCCTCCTACAAAAAAAAAAAAAAGTGCTGAAATGAAGAGAAGGCGGTGCCTCCCCCTGATCCACATTGGGTCCCCCATGGTGATGGCGCTTCGGTTGTTGGAAGTGCAGAGTTGTTAAATGGCCAGCCTGTCAATCGAAACACAGGTTTCATTTACTCGGACTAATCGCACACACGCCATTCTACATCTTCTCCTTTAATTTACAGTATCAAACACAATCCAAGTATTGTGACAAGATATCCAGCATTGTATCGGGTTTTGTACCGTTTTCTTGGCTTCACTTCCCAGCCATCACGACATTTCACGAATGTTATAGAGTCCCCTGGTGAAATTTCAATTGCTGCAGGATCTTGGGCACAGAACGTAAACCTGGGACGATGTCAAAAAGAAATCTCCGTTAACATTTGTCAAGAAACTTAACTCCTGGAGGTAATGGTGGTGTCTAGACAGCTGCTGTCCCTCCCCCCTTTACTTACTTCTTCTGCGTTTCCCCAGCTTTCACACGAATCCGCCGGACTGCCAGCACAGGTTTGGGAGGCTTTGCGTTCCAGGCCCAGAAATTCTTCTTGATGTTCTTCCACACAGAGTTCCAGGTTTCAGAATCTCCTTCCCAGCTCAGACGGATCTTCAGCAGGTCGCCGATATCCTTCTCAGTAAACACCAAGAAGGTGTTGGTTAGGTTCAGACCGACAGTCTCATCATGGCTGCGCAAAACAAAAAAGGTGGAGGAGAAACCGGGTTGAGTCCGGTGTTCAGAAACAAGTTCTAGCAGCTGTGCGCTAAAGCAAACTCGGCATCAAGGGTCTAACGCAGAAAGAAGTTTAACAATCTGGGATGCCTGTCTGACTACTGAATTATTGCCGTGTCATGCTTCTGACAAGGTTGTGACAAAGACTTCTAAGGGAACCAACTGAAAGTGACTGGAGTTCCTCCCCTAGTCAGAGCTTGCTGTACATCACATTACTGGCACTTTGAAAAGGTCAGTCCAAACTAGATTCCAGTTCCAAATTTATATCACGGCAGTCCATGTGCTTCTAAATATCTCAGGCAGTGCAGCTGCCAGGTTGCCGGTGCACTGGTGGTTGTATGGGTTGTCACGCCAAGGTGTGAGGAAAAGAAAAGATTTTAGATTTTGTACTTACACGTCAACAAATATGTTTGCCGTGTCGTTATGGGCTCCGTACAACTTGACGTGGAAGGTTGGATCTGCGTTGTCTGCCTGTTTTCTGTTGAACACGTGCATCTTCATTTGGTAGTGGTAGCCTTAAAAGAAAACAGTTAATGTTTAATGGGATTGTGTACAGTAGTAATAGTTTACAATGGCAACTGTGGACTCGTAAAACGTGTGGAGCTTAAAGATAAGAAACCCTGCGATTGAGTAATCGTAGAGTTGTTTTACTCGAGGAAGTAAAACCTCGTTAGTGGCGACAGATAAACCCCTAACCAAGACTCACCTCCGAAGGGCATGTCAGCACGCGTCTTCAGGTACATTTTACTGTTACGCCTCTTGCGCATCTTCCGGGTGTTGTACCCAATATTATTGCAGCGGTTCTTGCGGCAGCTGAGGCAGATGCCCTTCTTGAAACGGTCTGGGCCGGTGCATTGGTAGGCGAAGCTCATGTGGTCCTTGTTCATCAAGGAGTCCACGAACAGGTGCACGGCGCGCTCATGCTCGCACTTCATCACCTCCATGAAATCTGGAGAGAGAGAAGGGAGGCAGGTTAAGAGATAACTTTGCTAAATTTATAAAAATGGATTAATAGTGAAAATGGGATAAACCTAATAACGTAGTGATAAACATCCTGGTTTCTGCAGAGGACAGCTGGGGTCTACAAACAAAGAGCCGTTTCTCAAGCACTTACTTCCAGCCACTGCCAACACATCTCCCAGTGCACAGCCGGGCTGCACGTCACCACCGTTGGGGTAGATGTCAATGTCCCCGATTGGCTGCTGGATCCCAATGCTCACACCCAAAGCCTCTCGCGTGTACGTGTGCAAAACATCCACGAAGTCGGCATCGTCTGGGGAGAGGCGCTTCCGTTCCTCTACGCCCTCGAACATCGGTCCTGCTGGGTCCAGACCTACCGGGAAGAAAAGATGGGACAGAAGGTCAGGACAATGAGGTGGCACCAATCTTTTTTACTAGTGTTTTTCTGCAGATTCATGTCGTGCTTAAAATGTACCGGTGATTCGGCCGATGGTCCCTCGCACGAACATGCCAGCATAGCCTGCTACGTGGGCGCCTAGACTGTAGCCGATCAGGTGCACTTTCTCCAGAGGCAGCTGCTGCTCGTCCTGTTGGGAGGAAAAAAAAAAAAAGTTAATAAAGTCGCAACTCACATCAGCAGCTGCGTCCATGAAGGCCAAACCCACACTGAACAAACCCTGGATTTCAGCCAGTGATGAGCAGTCGTGCCTGCAGCTGAGCCAAGCTCAAGTTAACCCGGACAGAATCTACCGACAGTCGCTTTCATGCAACAGCGCCTCCACCATCTGTCTCAGTTGTAAATGTGGACAAAGAGTATTTCACGGAGACAAACTAAGTGGCAGGGTGCCTGAATCTCTCCTCAATTGCGGCCCAATTATGCAATGGTGCTGCTGAATAGAAAATTGTGGTCTTTGCCTCAGAAGCATCAAAGAGACCCTGATTGGAAAATAAATATCCTAAGCTGTGAAGACAACATACCAGAATGAAATGGAGCTACTGCCTCAGGGCCTGACATTAAGAGAACATATTTAGCATAACAGTTCACCTCCTCAAACACATTATGGCAGTTCTGTCATGTTTACAAAATGGGCTGTGTGATCCCTTGAAGCACTCCAACGAGAGAAGGGGGGCAGCTTTCAGGTATTCGCTGCTCCTCTGTCAAGCAGCAGCAGTCACACGCAGCTGCGTCGTGGGGTGTGGTGGGCAGCAACATGCACATGAGGGTACGGGGGAATTTAGAGTTACAATGGAAACAAGCAGCCCCCCCCAATTTGTATGATTGGATTGCATCCTCAGCAGACTACTTAAAAGTCCCGTACGCACCTGAAGCCAGTTGATCATGCCAGCGATTTGGAGGCCGGCTTCGTGGGTGTGGTTGACCGCGTCGGGGTACAGCTGCTGAGCCATCGCTATCCAGTCGACGACCACCACGTTAGCCTCGCTTTCGCGCTGCATCAACGCGGAGACCAGCTTGTGCATCCAGCTTTCGAATATCCCGCTCATCTAAGGGGAAAAAAAAAAAAAAGAAAAAAAAAAAAAAAAAAAAAGGACAACCGGAGTCAGTCAGTCAGCTTTGACCTGGTGAACTCTCTCGGATGCTCCGCGCTCGAGTTAGCTCACATTCACGTGATAAAATCCAACAATCAAAAACGCACTGTGGTTGGACTACACTGCCATCCATGCGCCCGGATAGAGAAATAACATCAACGAAAAAGAATTTCCGCTCACACGTACCGTCCAGCCGTGGATGATGAAAATCGTCTTGGCCGTGGCATTGAAGCCACACTCCTCCAGACACTCCTTCTTGCCGGTCTGCAGGTAGCAGCCCTCCTGGTCCAGATCTAAACTCTTCCTCATGTTGTACTTGACCCCACCATGGAGAGGCTTGTCATTTGTTGACAGTTCTTCCAATCCAGGGTCTGCACCTGAAGGGGAAAAAACAAAACAATTACACTGTATGTCAAGGTTGCATCGAGGAGATGCTCAAAGTTACTTTATTTCCCTCCTGCCTTTATCATGCATGTAATATATTAAAAGGAAAAACACAACATGGGAGAACTAAAAGTAGATTCCAACCGCAGACCAAAAAAACATTCAGCCAATCATGCTTGATGTGGGATCGACACAGCCGATCAACTTGCTTTTGCAGCGAACATGCGTTACAATAACGCAGGTTGGCTGCAAGTAGACCGCACCGGAGACGCAGGCGCAGAGTCGAATCTCACCTCCGCCCTTCGCTTCCTTTATTTCAGAGACTCTCTCACACACAGCTGCTGCCAGCTCGTGTCATTATATCCGACTGTAACACTCAGGCCCGAGGCTAAAACGGCTCAACTGAGGAGTTTGACTAACGCAAGACGGGAGAATGCTGACAGTTTATCCAAGTCACAAATTATTAAACAAATATTAGTAATAAAGCCCAAATGTTGGACTAATTGTGTTTGATGAAGGAGTGGGTGGATGCATTTTAACTAGTGTGGATTAACCCGCCGCGCCGAGCAGACACGTCAGATGTTAATTTAAATGAACTCCACACACTTTTGGTAGCGGGCCACACAGAGGAAAAATAAAAAATAAATAAAACACTATTTCAGCTGGGCTTGTACCCGTTGGTGAAGCAGTCTGCGGTAAAACGCGGATTCGGCTGAACGTCCGAAGAGACACGGTGTGTGCGTGCGTGTCCTCCGCATTTTGCGTCAAGACTCCCGGTGCTCCCAAAAAAGGACACGTCGCAGTCCTATCGCAGAGGTCCATCCCGGTTCTTCCGTTGCGCTCTGCCCGCCACACTTGTTCTCCTTCATGATTTCGTCTAATAATGTAGATTAATCGAGGGGGGGGGGGGGGGGGGGGGG